CGGCTTCATTTGCGGTTGATTGAAGTTTCAAGTCAAAATTATCGTCCAATATTTCGTTTTCGTAAGGTTTATTGCCAGAGTCCATCAATTTTAGGCGCCTTTGTGGCGTAGAAAGCCGCTCGCTCAAGTCCTGGCGCCTGTTAATAGACGGCCGAGTAGCACCGTTATTTTGAAATGGGCTTCTAACATCAGCATCTTGCAGGTCATTGAGCCTTCTGAAGCATGCATTGCCGGACAGGTTCTGCCTCTTGATCAGTGCAACAGTCTTGAGAAATTTGTAAACACTTTAAATAGATATTAAATATGAATTCCATCGTGCGATTTAAATATTATCACGATATTAGTCGATATACTTAATAAATTATTTTAAAAAACTTGTTGGTACATAGAATTCATTTCAGGGTTAATAATGAAAAAATGTATAACCAATAGGAAGAGATTCGTATCTCTAGTAATACGAGATACGAACATGTGTTCGTATCTCGTATTACTAGAGATATTTCAGCAGGGTATTTAAATGTAAGTAGGCCAGGCTTACTAATGCGTTCCACATAGTGTGGGAAGCTGCCCACGGCGCAGCCCGCTCTGTTCATCTCTTCCCCGCGCCTGCCATCTTGTTTGGTCTGCTAATTACGGCGCCAGATCCCCGCTCAGGGGGCAGTTGAACTCGACGATTGATCTGGTAGAAAGTGACCAGTCACGCTGCTGAAAATTCCTTACTGACCAGCCATTTCGAAATAATAAATCGGACTTTATTTTTATATAGAGTTTCAACAATTTTTCAAGTTTTCTAAAAACTTCCTTTTCGATTACACTTAGGCGTCGAATAATGATTCTGGATAAAAAAGACACGATCGCAGTTCTGAAATAAAAATCCATATATTCTAACGTTTCGGCTATCTACACTTTAGCCATCATCAGAGTAAATAAGATGATATTAGATAGCCGAAACGTTAGAATATATGGATTTTTATTTCAGAACTGCGATCGTGTCTTTTTTATCCAGAATCATTATTCGACGCCTAAGTGTAATTGAAAAGGAAGTTTTTAGAAAACTTGAAAAATTGTTGAAACTCTATATGACCAGCCATTTATTTTTCTTGTCCGATAATTTATTCACAAGGAACTTTATTCATTCAATCGAAATTCAATTCATTTCTAGAAATGAACCTTGTTGATTTTGTTCAAGTTGAAAGGTAATTCGTGTGATCTGATCACACGCGAAAACCATCCTTGTTTGTTCCTTGTCAGGATTAACGTAACCCTTCCTTAATTTTCTTCGTAATCCTTAGTCTATTTAACTCAGGTTTTGAAGAAAATTCAATGACAGGCACATCTAGACGGTATTTTAGGAACCAACGAAAGTCTCAAGTCGCATGAAACAAATACTTTTTTATTCGGCGCTATTTGTTTCAAAGTAAAATTTGGTGATTGTAATGCAAGACTTCAGACCAGCGTAAGCCTAACTCGCGACCTCAGTTTCAGAAAATTCCCACGAAATTTCTCAACAGCACCGTGGCATCCGCTATGCATTTAGACTTGTAATAAGCTGATGCTTTATCAAGCTGTTGCTTTAGCTGATTTCTATCACACACCACCCAAACAGGCTGCAAAATACCGCCTGCACTCATCGTAATGACGGCAGTCCGACAAATTGTTTTATTTGCGCTCGTGACGAGTAAGCAACCGCGTGCAGAACGCTGTAGTCTGACCGCTTCATCGCCTCTTCCGCTACTGCCTGCGCGTTCCATTCATTACGCCGCTCGCTATTACTCATATACTTGATTATTCATAGGTATTCTTATATTTATTGCAACTCTTCATACTTTTTTGTAAGCTTTAGTTTCCGCCAAAATACTTTCGTTGCCTTTCTCATTAATCTCTAATGTTTTTACCACTTAATATATCTTTTCACTTTGATTCTCCCTTCCCTGTCGGCCATTGTTAATCCATAATAATTTCGGGAAATTTTCCGTATTCAATCCATTATTTTCAATATATATTCGAGATGCATAATATGAGAAAGGGTTCTCCTTCACGACATTCATCTGGCACGGGCGACGCTGTTCCCAACACAGCAGATTTTAACTCTCCTATTTACTTTCTACGGTCGAATAAGTGAAGTAAAAAATTAGTGAAAGAAATAACATCTACTGCACAGACGCAACTATTCCTGTAATTCGATTATTTTTATGTTACCCCTGAAACAATGCTGTCGATTGCTCGTGTCGAAATATCGTTTCTGGAAGAAGTAAAATAATTCTCATATAGTATCAAATATTGATCTGAATATGGCGTTCAACCACAAGCTTTAATGAATAGGTTTGCTAGATCAACAAAAAAAAGAAAGTACAAGTTCGCCTGTGACGGTACCAAACGGAAAACGGATTCTTTGCCACTTATCAATATCATTTTTCAAACTATAATATAAATAAATTATTTATGACTTGTAACGATAATTTCTAAAATTTAAAAGCATGATTTCTGAAATTTAACGCAATTGAAAATGAACCTTCCACACTCTTTTTAATGAGACCATTATTTTAGATGCACTAAGACAACATTGTAAAAATTTTTATGATACATATTCAGCTGTCCTAATTTGAAGCTTTTATTTTATATTCAACTGTGCTAATTTGTATCTTTTATTCTATATTCAGCTGTCCTAATTTGTATCTTTTTTTTATATTCAGCCGCCCTAATTTGTATCTTTTATTCTATATTCAGCTGTCCTAATTTGTATCTTTTATTTTATACTCAGCTGTCCTAATTTAAATTCAGCTGTCTAATTTGTAGCTTTTATTTTATATTCAGCTGTTCTAATTTGTAGCTTTTATTTTATATTCAGCTGTTCTAATTTGTAGCTTTTATTTTATATTCAGCTGTCCTAATTTGTAGCTTTTATTTTATATTCAGCTGTCCTAATTTGCAGTTTTTATTTTATATTCAGCTGTCCTAATTTGTATCTTTTATTTTATATTCAGCTGTCCTAATTTGTATCTTTTATTTTATATTCAGCTGTCCTAATTTGCAGTTTTTATTTTATATTCAGCTGTCCTAATTTGCAGTTTTTATTTTATATTCAGCTGCCCTAATTTATATCTTTCATTACACGTGCAGAGGAGAGACGGGATGGCGGTGCCCCAACCACGCGGGCCAGAGCGCTGCGTCAGTCTGGGCCTCGCGGTGCTGCTCGCTCTCGTGCACCTGGCAGCAGCTGGTGAGTCATCCTTGCATAGGGTGGCTAGTGCTCAACCAACCAGAATGATTTTTGATAATGAAAACTTTGTTAGCGAGCAGCAAATAAGTTCTGCATGCTCACAGTTAGAGTATTAATTGCATTTTCAATGGTGAAAACGGGATGTTCCCAGCGTGTTGTAGCCTATGAGCATATATTTCATATCAGCACAACAAAAACAAACTCTTCGTGATTTGGGGGAAACTCTGGAACACTCGGAGACCGCCGAGAAGTTTAGCCTGGGATGTGCTTGTGATTTTACAATAACTTGGGCTAATTATGCGTCATCATTTATTTAAAAATATTATCTTTAACTAAAGAAAGCTCTTTGCAATCGTTGACGGTCGAAAAATTCGGTTGGTTATCTGCTTTAACTCCAGACGAGAAACCAAACAAGGGTCAGAAATTCTTGCTGCTCAGCAGCGCAGGTTAGATTAGACTGTCTCAAAAACGACTATGCTGTTCAAGTCAGTGGGTCCTATAAGCCAGTGGGTCCTATAAGCCAGTGGGTCCTAAGGTAGTGGGTTAATTTGGCAGGTTTTACTGTTTCAAAATTGGCTTTTGAAACAAAATTCTTTTTTGTTCAGACATTTCGACGAAAACAACACTAATTCTTACAAGCGGACTTACAACTACGTAATTTTATCTATTCGAGTTATTTCACAATGCACAGTACTTTAAATGCAATAAATCTGTGATCACTTTAAAAGGAATGTCTATAAAAACTAAGTTGACGCGCGGACCGAAGCGAAGCCATGCCTGCATCGGGATAAACTGCAGGTCTCTGCACTCTCTTGTCGACCAGCAGATCTCTGCTCGGAAAAAGTGAGCTGCACTGCGAACGCGGAGACAATATGACCGAGACTATAGGGTCACGATGAGCCTCAGGCCCGCCAATGCAATACTTGAGAGGCAAAAGTTGCTATCCGATCTGGCAGTGACATTGTTACGTGGCGTCCGGTCTTCCGTGACTGCGGAGTGAACCGAGCTCGTGTTATCAAGTATCTGTGCGCTCGTTTGTATTTTAAAGAATTTTCTTCGAGAATGCAGGTGGTTTCACAACAGTAACTTTTTGAACAGAAACCAGCTGTAAAATCATCAATTCAACAGAGTTGAAGATACTTTGAATTAGTATTTCTGGATAAAACCTTGTTAAAACACTATAGGGAAATTTTGTTCCACTTGACTGATTTATGATAAAAAAGAGAACAATTTTGTCGGTTTACACGGAAACAAATAGTTAGTTGTAAAAAAAACAAGCAAATTATATGTTATCAAATAATTTGTTAAGCTGACACAACTGAAGTTTTGAGAATAAAACAAGAAATTGACTGCAGGAGCAATTTAGATTTTTAGGATTTTTACTGAAATGTTTCTGAGGTAGGAAGTGGAGGAGGAAGACACGTACGGCAAACCAGCCAGGCTTCCAGACGACCTTTTTCCAGCTTTTTGCTCCCATGAAGTTTGGGGAAGAACGCTAAGTTAGCTGCCTCTTGTTTGCCTAATGTTCCTAACTGAAGTTCAAGAGTCTTAAGTTATCTGTATCTTGAAATGCAACAAACCGCAAATGCCGAATGAACTCCAACCGAGCACTTTTTAGCGAATAATTTATTATCCAAAAACCAGTAATTTAGGCAGTATTCTGTCACATTTTTTGAACCAAATTTTGTGATTATCTGAGTGGTGAGAACGTTAGTTGAATAAAAATATTTCTTTTTAATTGATTTATTTGTTGACTTTACTTCTCAGCGCCGTACCTACACGAAGGCTTCCAGCAGTCCAAGCAACCCTCGCCCCTGGACTTCGTCAGTCCACTCAAGGGTGGTGAGTTGTACCATCCTGCAGGATACGTTCTCTCTCTATTCATATTTGTAGGATTTTATCGTCAGCTCCTCGAAATGTGGTCAAGTCCACAGTATGTGAGTGCACTTTTTAGTTCGCTTCTTGTGCACTTTGGCCGTTTGTTGTGCATTTTGGTGTGTGAATGATGTGCATAATTATATCGAAATAGCAGATAAGTCTCAACAATTCTGGCATAAAAAATAATTCTTTGCAATTACCGCTGACTGATGTTACTTTTTCTCTTCTTTCTTTATTTATTTAATAGTGTGGCTGGAAATATGCTGAAAATTGCTAACTGAATGATGAGTATGACGTGCTTATAATTGGCTCTGATGATGACGTGTTTATCACTCGAAGTATTACGAGTTTATCACTTGAAGTATTGCGTGTTTATCGCTGTCTGCGATTATCTACGAAACTTCCGAAGAGGCAGCGTCAGAAGACGTTCAGCGTGAACGCAAGACAGACCATATTTATAGGCATTATATTACTGCGCATGGTGAACGTTCTTATTATCTAATAATAAAACCAAATTGTTTCATATTCATTCCAGGAATGATCGGACCGCTCTTCAGGCCAACTGATCAAGCTTCCATTGACCTACGGACTGCAGGTGAGCTGAGTACAACAACTTTTTAAACAAATCGCTAAATAATAAATTCCTGACCCTAAACAATTTGCAATTAAAATTACATGACACTTTATTATTACTGTTATTACTAAAGTGAAAAATCTGTAACACACTTCCTCAAAATTTTTCCAAAATTAACTTATAAACAACCATCCAATTTTTTTCGCCGCAATATTCTTATTTTTTCTCGTTTATGAGTTCCTCTGAAGGCTACTCAACAGTATAAAACTTCACAAAAATCATTTCATACGTGAAATATTTGGCTAGAGTAAACGTCGGATCCGTAATTACTGACGATGCAGGTATTTAGATTAACCGCTATATGGCCTCAAGAAACTCTGTGCCTCACGAATGCGACGCCTCTTCGCCTCAAGGCCACATTCCGGACAAAAACAGACGATTTGGAGCTGAAAAAAAATAACAACAACAACCCAACTGGTTTTGCGTGAAAATTCCATTGCGATGACACATCCAGCATAAACTAGCGCATAATTTAGAGGAAAAATGTTTTTGAAATGCAAAAGCTGCATAACCCAAATAACTTTGATTATTTTGAACACTCCCGATTGGCCGTGGACATAATGTACATGATGAAAGGCTCCAAACAAACTTCAAGATCACTGTGAGCGATTCGTTGAAGTCACCGAGAGAATACGCTGAATGCGACCAATTTCAAGCGGTTCAAAATTTAGTTTCGGTTTAAATTGCATTCAAATTTCTAGTCATTACTCAGCATAACGTAAATATATATAAAAAAACAACGTATTTCCTCGTGGTCAGTTCTAATCAAGCTGTCAAAACCCACTTATAGCGTCACTAATCTTTTACTGAAACAATTATGTACAAATACCCTAATTTAATTGTTGTACAATACAAGTTATACAAATATCCCGAGCAATTAGTCATTACTAAATACACTCCTAATTCTGAGCAATACTGGAGCTTCGAAGTATTCAAAAAAGTCCAGGGTTCTCAAAAGTTTGCTGCCGTTTATCTGACGTGGCTAAAGCTACAAACTTTCTAAACTTACATTAATATATGAGACTAGAAAATTGACTCTAAAAAGTTTCGGTGTAAAAAACGCGCGTCAAGATACACGGAATTCAGGACTGCTACAGAAGCGAGCTCCGGTGCAGTATGATCCCAATGCTGTGGGAGTATATTGACTCCATGGATAAATTACGTGGAATGACTGCGCATTATCTTGCATCACGTCAATTACTCGAGTCTCAGCCCTCATCTCGCTGAGCTCTTAACGCATCAATAATAACGTCTCGAAATTGAAGAGGATAGCTCGTTTGTCAAAATCTGAATCGTGTGCCGCCTATTTCTATATCAATGTGTGTCTCTTTATTCTTCCTTGGAGCATTAAAAAATTAATACAATCTTGAAAGATTCCATTACGTTCATACAAATGCCACAAACGTTCCAAAAAAATTTTTGTTGGGTTACTACAGCGCCCTTCCTTAGAAAACTGCAATGCAATGGAAAAAATTTTATTCCTCCAAACCTACTCTTTCAGTTCCTTTGAAGATACAGAATGACACGTATTTTTTCAAAATTTTGGAAACGTTCATTAATTGAGCTTAAAACGTTTGGGTCGTTTGTATGAATTGCTAATGAATTGTTTTAATAAATATTTCATCGGTTCTTCTCAGGATGTTACTACCAATTCCATCACTACGAGGAGGGGGACAGAATCGTGACGAATGAGCCTTGCCTAAACTGTACATGCCACAACTCCATGCTAATGTGCTACTTGAAGGTACTAGCAACTATATATATCTAAACTGCACATGCCACAACTCCATGCTCATGTGCTACTTGAAGGTACTAGCAACTATATATATCTAAACTGTACATGCCACAACTCCATGCTAATGTGCTACTTGAAGGTACGGACAGCTATTTTTGTCTAAACTGTACGTTCCACAACTCCTTGCTAATATGCTACTTGAAGGTACGAGCTGCCAATTTTTATCGAAACTGTACGTACCATAACTCAAAGCTAATGTGCTACTTGAAAGTAAATACAGACTGTACGTTTATGACACAACTCCATGATCGTGTTCTACTTGTGTGCAAGGGCAGCAATTTCTTAATTGTTGTGAAAAATTCCTCGTTGTTTTCACATGAAAAAACTTCCGTTTTTAATTTCGTCCCGCCTCCAATATTTATGAAAAAAGCGCAGGCGCTCCTAAATTACGTGTGAAATTACTAAACGTAGATAATCGCTAAATTGTCGAACTCTTGTTTTGAAGTGAACAAAAACCTGTAGACCAGCAAAATAAGTTAATGTCTCTCTACATTCCAGGTGTGCCCCTTCAGCAAACCCATTGGTTTGGACTGCAAGATCGAGAAGAGTCCTGATCAGTGTTGTCCCGTCATCACTTGCCCTCAAGGTAATTCGGGGTTATTTTCCCACTGTATGCTCGGATTAAAAAAAATTATTATACAAGTTGGTGTCAATAGTGGAATCAGTTGAGTAAAATTTGAAGATTTCAGAACTTTCATACGTCAATTATTAGCGTGCAAATAAATGACTCCGTTTTACCAATAACTCTGTGCGTTAAATCGATCACAAATGCATCACACTGCCGGAAGTCAAACCCATCGAAATAAAAATTTGTAGCGTTCTTCCTAAAATCACTCAATAAAATTAACAATAAATAATGCATTTCACATTTTGTTAAACATACTATTTTCTAAGCAATTCTTAAATTATTTTCGTCTAAGTGAGGCTGTATCTACATTTTGAAATGCTTATGTACGGTACTGCACAATTATTAATATTTAATGCACAATCCATCTTAGTATACGTATGATATCATCTTTATTGACCATAAGTTAATTTCAATTATTTTCACCACTAAGATCTCGGTCATTCATAAAAGTTTCATGCATAGTCTTCACTCCTGTGTCACTGATGCAATATTTTTTTTAATTATCGGATTTACGTTAAGCACCTGGGGCCATACTTTCAAAACACGCTAAGTGAACGTAAGTACTTACGCTCTATTTTCTTGTCTATGATTGGTGGATTTTGCTCGAAAGGCCGTCAATGATTAGCTGATGAACTTACGATCTTTTAACTTTTTTTGAAAGTAAAGGCCCTGTTGACTACACAGTTTTCTTAATGCTTACTAACTAGCACAATAACGTGGATGTTTTAAACGTGTTCTCAGTGCCTGTCAACCTGCAAGTTATGCACATGACGACCTCCACGACATCAGCACCTGCCGTGATGCAGATGACCGGCATCGTGCCATACGTCGAGCACGGCTGCACCGTCGAGGAGGATTACTTTCCTGATGGCGCTCAGGTTAGAACTGAATAACTTTGAGGGTTGTTAAGCCATACCTGAAGGTACAATAGCTGAGGGTTGTTAAGCCATACCTGAGGGTACCATAGCTGAGGGTTGTTAGGACATACCTGAAGGTACTATAGCTGAGGGTTGTTAGGACATACCTGGAGATACTATAGCTGAGGGTTGTTAGGACATACCTGAAGGTACCATAGCTGAGGGTTGTTAGGACATACCTGGAGATACTATAGCTGAGGGTTGTTAGGACATACCTGAAGGTTGTTAGGACATACCTGAAGATACTACAGCTGAGGGTTGTTAGGACATACCTGAAGGTACCATAGCTAAAGAACTTATAGAAGTCTTACGAATTTCCTAATTGCAGCCATGAATCAAGATAACGCGTTACCAATAAGTTTTCCAAGGCGTTTTCCAAGTTTTCCAAGGCGTTTTTTCAAGTCATTTTGAAATAACTGTGCAAAATATTAAATCTCATGGTATGATTTATAAATAGAGCAAATTTTAATTGTCTTCGATTAACGAAGTTATTTAAATGAGAAGTATAATTTTTAGTGATACTCCGCTGACCGACTATAGTCTATGAATTTTCTCGAGATGAAGAAAACGATGGGTTCATCGCCATCATACTATGGTACAGTACCATATTTAGTTGATAAAAATATGCCTTGGAATATTTTCAATATTAATTGAAATTCATGTTTTCATCATGAAATTATTAAAATATCAAAATGGCTGAAGCCGTTAAAATTGTAATTCAGGGTGTACGTGCTTGATAAATTTAACATTTAGAATGCGATTGAGGTATTCAAATGCAATTTGGATTGTACACTGCATAGAGCTCGTTGGGTTTATAAATGTAGTTCGGTTGTACGAATTGTTAATGGCTCATGAAGTATTCAAATGTAGTTTGTGAGTTTACTGGGCTTTGGAGTTATACAAATCTAGTTCGGTTGTGTCGAGTGTACACCACAGGGCTTATTTGTCAGAATGTTATGCAAAATATTCGTGCTGCATGAGTGACGCTTTGATAGCCTTTTTCCGTTGTAAAATCACAAAATTGAAAACTTTGCAGACGCAATGAGGTCTGTTCAACTGCTTAGTGTTCATTTTGAAATGAAACGATTAATGAATCATTTTGATATAAATCATATGTTGTCATTATTTGGTATGATATAGTGTGCTATGATTGACGAAAAGAAATTACATGGAAATTACCTCGCCAGATGCCAGGAAATGTGTCCAAGCCATGTGAGCTGTGCTACTGCATCAGGAACCACACCGCGTGTATCATGCAGGAATGTATCCTGAAGGTTGAAGGATGCGTCCCTGTCTTCCAAGAAGGAATCTGCTGTCCTGTGAGATACCAATGTGGTGAGTATAGCACGATTGCACACTTACACAATGTACATACTCGGAAATCAAACTTCCTCTTTTTCTGACACCATTTCCTTGATCGGGTTAGTAGAAACCTCTGTAGAAATTACAAGCATCAAAGCTGCACTAGGCTGAAGATCGATGGAAATAGCACTCAATATATAAGTCGACAAAATAGAATATTTTAGTCCTGCAACTTCAATAATCGTCTTATCGGGAAGCCCGTCATTATTTATAATGAGAAGAACCAATATTTGTAACTCGTACGCTCCTAACAGAGGGTGATAAGCCTGTGTTCCCACGTATTGGCGGCCCTGAAATAAGTGACCCGTATGCCACTGTGGTGTATCAGCCAATTCTCAAGACGACAGCTGGCACCACAATTGTGGACGAAGCCACCACCGCCGTTCCTTTTGCTGGTACGACATCTCAAAGAGCCTCAGAAAATGTCTCACAAACTGACGACCCTGAGCTCCAATTTGTTACCGGCTCTGGAGCGAGGAGAAGTAAAGGTTCCAAGCGTTGTTCGTCAGCATGCTTCCAACCCATAAATACAAAACGACTTGCCAGTCTGCGTATTGAAATCAACTAAAACGCTTCGTCTGCATCCCTAATATTATTTATCCCATTGTTCCAGATCTCCTGCCTCCAACGTTTGCACTCCAGTAGACAACGCTTCATAGAATAATTGTGCATAGTTGTATTTTGAACCTAGTTCAGTCTCTAACCCATTAATGTGAACTCTACTAAATGAACGCCGAACCGCATGACCTAACCCTGTACCGAAAAGTATCCACTTAAACGATAATTACATGTTTTAGGAATGCATATGTATTGCGACCATTCATGTCATATTGCATGATATAAAACAGATTTTTATCCGTATTTGATAACTTACCATCGATGTTGTTTGATTACATCTACCTTTGCATGACCCGAATAAAACTTAATTATCAGTAAAATGTATCCCCCAAATAATTAACAAAACATACGTGTTTGAATTCTGCGTAATTTCACTAATTTGGAATACAAAAAAAGATCATTATATGGACACGAATATTACATAGGATGTCACAGTCACAATACTAGTTTCCATTCTGATTAATAACCGTTCCTGTGGGCAGCTCACGAAGAGGAAGACACTTTCCTCACGACCACGCAAGCATCTCCCCAAGTTAACGCTACCACTGGCCTCCCATTCTCCACTGTTATCCCTGGCTCGATCTCTGGTGCGTGCATACATCAAGGAGAAATCTATGCTGACGGAGCATTGATAGAAACAGATGATCCTTGTGAACACTGCTACTGCATGAAAGGAGACTTGGTGTGCGCTATTCATGAGTGTAAATCATCTCTGGACGAGGCCGATGAAGGTTGCTTGCCAAGACCTCCTCTACCTGGCCAGTGCTGTCCTCAGGGCTACACTTGTCGTGAGTATTGCCTCAATATAATTTACACCTTTAAAAATGAACACACTAGAAGTAATTGTGACATTTCAATCGTTCGTTACAGTGTAATCGTTCAATGTTAAATATTTTTTCCAGCTGATCAACTTGAAACGACTTCATTACAACCTGATGCAGCAGCTGGCACTGCCACAGTTACACCCGCTACAGAAGTGGAGGATGTAGACCCTAAAGAAGAGGAACATACCACGCCCTCAGCAGTAGTTTCACCCGTTTCAGATCTCTCAGAAACGTACAAGCCTATCACACATGACGATGGAATCATCGAGACTAGAATAACTGCAGGGAAACCTTTACTGACGGAACCAGCTGACGGAACTAAACCAGTTCACACTGTCACATTAGACATTGGCGATTCCGAGCTGGAATCAACGCAGTCTCCATTAACAACGCCTGCTGCAACCGAAATAGATGATGACCTGTTGATTAACTCGACAGTTGATGCAGGAAAGGAATCAGTCACGAAAACTCCGGAATACTTTGAACCAACAAGTGCATTTATAAACTCTACCGTTACTGTGAATGACTCGAGAGTTTCAACAACCCCTGAAACGTCACTAACTGAAAGCGTCACAGATTCTCCCATTTCACAGCCAGATGACAAGTTTGTAACTAGTGAGCAGCCATCCACAGAGTTTCCTGCTACAGAAAAACCAAAGCCATCCTCAACAGAAACAGCCACCGATTCTGGCATTCCTCTTGATACATCTGAAACAACTACACTTCCAGAAGAACATGAAACTACTACAACCGCAGTAGTAGTAACAAGTGTTATCACCTCTGACAGCCGCAATGAAACCAAAACCACTGAAAAACCTACTGAAGAATCCCACACAGAACCAGGTCCTGGGCTTCCAGAGGAAGAGAAAGAAATTGATGTTACTTCCCCACCCCCTATAGTGACGACTGAGGGAATACCAGGAGAAGGAGACTGCATGATGAACAGCATCACTTATTCTAACGGAGACGTCGTGCCGACATCTTCAGCTTGTGAGGAGAGCTGCACATGTCGCGACAGCATTGTGGTCTGTAAATTCAAGTCTTGCGAATCTCCTCCACCGTCTTTCCTCCGATGCGAACCTTCAGAAATTCCCGGAGAGTGTTGCCCTCGTTACGATTGCCGTAAGAAATATGCTTATAACAAATAAATTGTATAACATATGCATAAATATGTTTACAACAAAGAATCTCAATCATATTCAGTTATTCGACGAGCGTGTAATTTAATATTCAATTAACAAGAATAATTACATGTATTGCAAACGTTATTTTTGTCCAATCATACTAATTTGTTGATGTTTTACTGCATAAATGTAGTTAATTTTATCTCCAACAGCTGCATCAGTCAATAATAGGACCTGTGAGAAAGATGGGGTCACGTATCAAGACGGGAAGCTCGTACCGACCAGTAATCCTTGCGACGAATGTTTCTGTGTCGAGGGAAAGATTATTTGCGCCATCCGAGAGTGCTTACCTCCTGCAAAGGGATGCGTGCCAGTCTCCCAGTCAGACGACGGATGCTGCCCCACTGCATATGAATGTCGTGAGTTCTGGAACCTATAAGTGAAAAATTTGACAACACAAGTGAATAACTTTTACAAATTTTGTCACTAGACTATTTCATTTAGTAACTTGGATAAATGTCATCTGTGTAATGCATTACTTATTGTCCAATATTCAGCCTCCATCGCTCCTGGTGTCGCCGATCTCGTCATGGTGACGGAAAAACCCCAAGGTGTAAATGAAACGCTCAGCACAAGCTGCAAGCAAAATGGAAAAGAGTTCAGAGATGGCGATGCAGTTCCTACGTCAGATCTCTGTCAAGAATCCTGTCTGTGCAAAGATGGCGACTTACGGTGCATCAAAAAAGCGTGCCCGTCTCCACCACCGAGCTTCCGCAGATGTTTAAAAATTGAGGATTCAAAGGAATGCTGCCCGTCGTACGAGTGCCGTAAGTGAAAAAAATACTTTCCAACTGAATTAGGAATTTATGTTCTTACAAAGTAAGATTAATATTCTCAATAAATGTTAGCGTCATTAATGAGCTTCCTAATTCCTACGCTGTTTCGGTTGACAGCCCCCCCAGCTGTTGATGGAGGAGCATCATGTCGGTTTGGAGGTATCGATTACACCGACGGAGAGTTGGTTCCAAGCTTGAGCAATTGCGAAGAATGCTTCTGCCAAGATGGGGAAGTTATTTGTGCTGAACTTGAGTGTAGACCTCCTGGGCCAAACTGCATTCCTGCTCTAGTTGAGGAAGGCAGTTGCTGTCCTTCTTCGTATGATTGCAGTAAGTTGAAAAATGTTATCAATTTGATCCCATTAGTTTATTTTCGTGCTAATCGATCAGTTGTATCTGCCCCTCTTTCAAACTTGCAATAGTGATTTGTGCGTCATATTCCTCAAGATGTTCAGGCTGCAACAGCCCAATTTCAATCACATACTATCAGTTTCGTATTCTTAATTCTTATGCTTACGCCATTCAGTGTATAATTTCTACAAACTGTAGATTTCTAAAATGCTTGAAAGATTTTTGCTGTGAATGTTTTTGGTGGAAAATTAAAATAGAATTCATTCCTATCCGTCAAATAATTTCGATATTGCAATGAATTCAGCAAGATCGAATTATTACAAAAAAAAAACATCTTTGAATTTTATTTTTCAGGTGAGCAGACCCCAGAGTTGACCTTTACTTCACCTGAATTTTCCGTTGACACTGTTGAAGATACTCCAGTCATTTCAACTGTGTCCGGAGACTTCAAAAATACTTCTGATGGTACAACCATTGGGATCGATGCAGGAAGTGAAGTTCCCGACTCCAAAGACTCATCTGACGGAGTGACAGTATCGCAACCCAACGCTACATCGTCAGTTCAGACCTCCACTACTCCGAAAAAAACTGTTGACTCCCATATGCAAGCAGACACAACGGCCACGGAAGTTTCTTCAGTGCAAGATTACACAGAGGCTTCAGTTTTTACTTACAATGATACGAAAACAACTGTGTTCACTAAAGCACAAACTTCAACCGAAGTACCATCATCAGAAACTGTGCAGGCTGAAACACAAACGACCTCGTATGCTCATACAACACCGCCAAGCCTTACTCCGGAGACTGACATTAGATCATCAGCAGTAACTGGTACAGGGGAGACTATGGAAAGTGAATCAGCTACAATTGATGGTATCGAAAATGCAACTACTTTGTCACCTTTAGCAACAGAGACAGGTACAGCCGCGCAGCCGTTCGTATCGAAAATCACTACTACAACTGCCTCATCAATAACAGAAACCAAGTTTAACGCTACTCCTAGTGGAACAGGGGATGAAGTTACTACCGTTGGAATTTCGCTTGTAACTGAAACTCCAAGCGTTGTAGCAAATTTAAGTGACACAAAGTACTCAACGCCCGATATTATAATCGATAGTCAGAACGATACCATTCCAGAGTTGATTACCGAAAGTTCTTTGGTCGATGATATATCTAGCACCTCGGCTAATGATCTCTCTAAGACTCCATCTGGACAAACAGAATTTTCCACAGTGATGAGACTGACTCCTTCAGAGACTCCAGAGGGCTTCGTAGTTGTCGATCATTCAACTACAGTGATGCCAATAGAAAACCTGGCTGATCATGAATCAACTTCAACCGTGAAGAATACTAGTACAGGCAGCACAACCAAATTTACAGAATTAGATTATAAAAGTACCACTGCCATCCCAGAAGGCATCGAGAAAGGTGTTGTGTCCACAGTTAGCATATCAGAAGACGGTACATTTGAATATGGCGACAGCACTACACTCAACCCAATCCATGCGTATGAGGCCTCGAGCTCTACGACTCCCTTAACTGAACTGGAGAAGGAATCGGACATTATTGAATCTACTTCCATTGAGCCGACAACTGAACGATTCACAGACGTATGTGTTGTGGACGGAAGGACGTATTCAGACGGAGAAACAATTCAGACAAATAAATATGGTGGCTGGGATAGCTGTCACAAAAGTTGTGTATGTAAAAAATCTGTTGTCGAATGTACTCTTCTCGCCTGTCCTCCGGCTCCTCCCTCTGCATTGCGCTGCAAACCTGTAGAAGACCCAGGTCAATGTTGTCCTTCCTATGATTGTGGTAAGTGGGTCAAAACTACTGGAAAATAATTTTTACGTTCTTAAGTGTATATTAAATAGTAAATTTAATTTGCGGAATAATGAACAAATGGTATCAATGGTACTGTTTTCACAAGTATCTCTATAATTTGAGATTGCCCAAGGAATGCGGCTCATTTCTTTATGTCAAGTCAGCGTAAATTGTCTTGTTTCAGAGGAAATAAATCCTGGTGGAGATCCGGCTTTAACATGCAATCAAGAAGGACAGATTTTCAAGAACGGACAATATGTGCCTAGCGCCTTCGAGTGCGTTGACTGCTATTGCATTGATGCAGTAGTAACCTGCGCCAAGGTTGTCTGTCAAATTCCTGCTGGCAACTGCACACCATCAACAGTTCTTCCCGGCGAATGCTGTCCTAGCGAATATAGTTGCCGTAAGTACATTTATCACTTAAGAAACAGAACTTGACGACTTCTTCTGAAATCGCATCTGATATTAATTGAAATTGCAATGCCATCATGATGAGCGATCTTCTGACCGCGTTTTTTAATCTATTCAAGGTGAACCCGAAGCGCAAATCACAGAGTCCGCTTTAACTACTCAAAAAGAACAAGAATCAACTACTGCCTCGACGCCAAGTCTCGAAGAACAGAGCCGATCTTGCGTTCGAGATGGGACTATGTATCTACACGGTCAATCAATGCCAGTGGCTAACGCATGTCAGGAAAGCTGCAAGTGCCACAACGGGACGGCGCAGTGCAAGCTGCGTGCCTGCCCTCCTTCTCCACCGTCCTTCCTGCGCTGCGTTCCACATGAAAAACCTGATCAGTGCTGTCCCAGCTATGAATGTCGTGAGTATTACGTCGGATTAGAAAATATAAATTTATTACCTTTTCTGTTAGATGGGTGATCTTCATAGTACTTTCATGAGACATCAAACCCTTTTGTTATCATATGTCGACGTTGGAACCTATTTAATTACTTTGCCTCAATAGGTTCATTTCTTCATTTCATATCAACATTGACAAGAAACTTGAATTTTCAGCAAGCGGCACTGCGAATGAAACCTTGGTCACAAAATGTATGAACAATGGAATCGAATATCAAAACGGAGAGCTCGTGCCGAGCTTCGATCATTGTTCGGACTGCTACTGCATTGACGGCAACGTCACGTGCGCTGCTCTAGAGTGTCAGCCACCAGCTCCAAACTGCACTCCTAACGAAGTCCCTGAAGGCCATTGTTGTCCAACCGAATACGATTGCAGTGAGTCTACAGTCTAGTACTTTTGTATTCTTTTGTAAGTTTATGTTCGAAGCGAAAATTTCCATGCGAATTTCCATATAGATTAATTAAAAACTCTTTACAGGTGAATCTTCACCAACTTTCGGTATTGAAACCGACTCCACTCCTGATTTGACATTCTCTGCTGTGGATGAGACTGTAGATGGAGTTACAACAACTACTCCAGATATAACCGTAACCTCAGAGGAGACTTCAGTGACTACCGAAGACTTCAGTGAGGCTGTCACAGTTGGAGATGGAACGGAACAAACTGAAGCTGATGGTGAAATATCTACCACGTCCCAATCGACCGTAGTCCCAGAAATTATCGAAACTGAGACATTGCTGCCCGATGAACAAGTGGTGGGATCTACGATGGAGCCTGTCACTGAGAGTGAAGAATCTGCAGCAACCCAAGCTCTGGAGGAAGGCTCATGCGTTAAAAATAATACTGTTTATCTCAACGGTTCAGAGGTGCCAGCTCTAGCAGCGTGTGAAGAGAGTTGTCTTTGTTCGGAAGGGGCTATTCTGTGTGAAATGCAGGCCTGTCCGCCCGCTCCTCCTGCGTTCTTAAGATGTTCGCCCATTCAGCAGCCTGAGCAATGCTGCCCCTCGTACGACTGTCGTGAGTATTTTAGTCTTACTCGTGCATTGTTTTATGTGTTTGTGCTTGTGAAATGCGAAAATTTGAAAAACCAGTGCATAATTCTTAGAATTGATTGAGGTACTCCGATTATTGGATTAATTTTCTACATATTTTGACATTTTTATCTGCAAACAAAGAAATTAGAAGAAATCATAATAATACATTGAGAATACACCGGCGAAAAAATATTTTTCAGCATTTAAAAATCATTTGGTTCATGAATATACATTTGTAAAGTCTATCTTTTGCGACGAGTTCTTGAGTTGAGTCGCATAAATGCCTGAAAACCATTCTGTACGTGAAATTCTCAATTATTCAAAGAAACTTCCTACGGATGATCCTAAGTTTATCATCGCCGAGTATATATGCACGTATATATGCAGCGACTGACAAATTAAAACCGTAAACAGTTGCAGAAATGTGTATTTGATCGGAACGGGAATGCGCCGCAAAATACTTAGCCAACACGACGGTATTCTGATCATATGATCACTGCCCATATCTTCATTTATTTTCTCTCGTGTACAGCTGAAGTTAAACCTGATCCTTCGACTACTCCGAGTTGTGTGGTCAACGGAACGGGTTACGTGGACGGTGAATACGTACCAGGCCCCAGTTACTGCACCGACTGCTACTGTATAGCGGGAGAATACATCTGCGCCACACTTGACTGCGAGGCTCCTGGTGAAAACTGCCTGCCCGTTGAAATTCCTGAAGGCAGCTGCTGTCCAACGCGTTATACATGTGGTAAGTTCCATCTTTTTCTCATTCAAAACTTTTCAATGAAAATATAGTCTGTTTTACTTTCTTCCATAATCAATTATTTTGCCATTTTATAATTAATTAACACTATTCTAATATTTGTATCATCGTATTCTTTTCAGCCGACTCTGCACTTTCATCGCCTTTGCCCGAAGATTTCACTTTCCCCGTAGATAAAATATCTACCCGGTTTACTGATGTCGACAGACCAGAAACTGAAGTTACTCAACCAGAATCCGACACAAGAGAAACGGTTAAGGATACAATAACTGCTGTCACGATAGAAACGGATGAGTTAACAACAGTAAGGACTCTTCTCCCAAACGGAACAATGGTCACTAGTGGAGAAGTAAGTTCCACCGCTTCGACCAAACCTACCCCAGCCGTTGGCGACAGCACAGGCATCTCGCACACTAGTGAACCGGAAACATATGGATCGGTAGCTGATTCCGAAGTCGCTGACGACAGAGTAACGGTTACGGAAGTAACAGAAAAACATACCACTGTCGAAGAAGAAACTGAGAGCACACCTGAAGTTGAAACTTCTACTGCAACATCTCCTTCGAAACTTCCTGATGTAACAGAAAGGCCTGAGGAGGGGGATGAAACATCGGAACATATACCATCCGCCGTTACTCAGACAAGCGTTGTGGACCAGGTTGACTCGGAATCTACCAGCACCCCAGGCTATGGTGAAGTTACCGAACAATTTCCGGATGATTCAACCGACCATACAGATGAAAGCGTGGGGATTTACAATGAAACAACTACCACTTTGGAAGAAATTTACATTACAACCCCAGCATTTGGCGTAACTGAATCCCCATCGATGGGCAGAGAATGCACTGTAGATGGAATTGTTTACTCAGACGGATCATCAGTTCCAGTCCTAAACTCATGTCAAGAGGAATGTCAGTGCCGAAATGGAACGTTGCAATGTGATCAAATAGCTTGCCCCCCTGCGCCCCCTGCATTTTTCAGATGCACGCAAGTTCAAACTGAAAGCTGTTGCCCATCTTACGATTGCGGTAAGTGATCTTCTGCAAAAAGTTAAACTTGATATATCACGAGTTGCATGTTACCCTAAATTGACAAACTATCCACTAGACTCTTATATCATCTAATAATTTGATATCATTATCTTCCAGCTTTGCCAGCAAGCAACGCTTCGGCCCAGGGATGCAATGTGAATGGAACTACTTTCAGTGATGGCCAATATATTCCCAGTGGGACCATCTGCAAGGATTGCTACTGCATTGACAATGAAGTCGTTTGTGCCACTATTGACTGCCCTATTCCCGGCCCCAACTGCTACGCGTTGCGTCAGAGTGAATACGGATGTTGTCCCGAAAAATACCGCTGCGGTGAGTTACCAGTGGATTATAACTTTAGTGAGTGTTATTTATCTGAAGAAGATCCAGCCAAATATTATGGAGGCAAGTCTAAAGATATACAGCGAAACTTATACTAGTGCCACAGTTCTTCCTCAAAAAGTGGTATTGGTTGCAACATAAAGCTTATATATTAACTTGTCGCTTCAGATTCTGCAGAAATTGTGACGGAAGCAACTGCGACATCGCCACCATTAGATTCAATGGATGCTAACACTCGGGCAACTGGATTGACCGAAGAAATTGATGACGTTCCGACCACGTTCTCACCCAGCGTCGGCTGCATCGTGCGAGGCATCTTGTACTTGGACGGCGACGCAGTGCCGGACAAAAATCCGTGCAATCTCTGCCACTGCTCAGGAAGCAGAGTCGTGTGCTCTCCCAGACAAAATTGCTCACAAGAAATTAAACCAGATGCTGATTCTAGCATTATTGAACATGGTAAGTTGTAATAAAAATTAAGTTTACACATTGATTTACAGGTCTTTCTCTGCCTGATATCGTAAATTCTGGCGTATAAAAGTGGCTCGAATTGGGATATTTTGTTTGATTATTATTATCACTTGATTCTTTAAATCGTAAGTTTATCAGGAATATAAAGGCCAAAACTGCCAAAAAAATTCACTATTTCTTTTGAAAGTAAACGTTTCGGCGTAACACTCCATCGCCAGTTCAAAAAGCCAAGCTGGTCCAGCTCCCCTAACTTGAATTACTCGACAGCGCCGTAATCGTTATATTGCGCTTGCTTCCCTTACTTAATCTAAATGGCAGTGCATGATAGCTTCTGGCGAACATTTTTGAATAAATTAATTACAGTTCAAGCAAACTTCAGTACTGCGTCGCATTTGGAGCGTAGTGTCACATTAATTGAAAAATAATTAATGCAATTTACAAATGAAAATACTAACTAGATTCTAAAATTCAAGACGATAAAATTATTTGAGTCAAACTTCTATAGAACACTCATTGTGAGAGTTTGAACTGATATTAATTCTTGAATAGAAATGTTACCTGATGATGAAATTTTTCATTTTGTTTTCATGTTAAAAGCAATCAGTTTTATTGATTTATTGCTACTACGATAACGCAATGAAAATAACCGGTTTATCATGCCGTATCACTTATGGTCTCAGACGATGGCACACCAACGCTGTTGGTGCCGTCAACGGAGCTCGAGGTAAAATTCACTCACCAGCCCGCCGACGAAACCGAGGATGTCGTCGCTACGCGTCAACAAACCGAAACGACCGATGTCGATATTGTTGAAGGTTCCATCACAACTGTGCGTCCAAGTGTCGCAGTTGATGCTACCACGGAAATAACTGTGGAGACAGAAAGTCCTTATGTACCGGTAACCGAATCAGTTACAGGAGACAGTATCGAGACATCGACTGTTTTTGAAGAAGATGCTGTAACTTCAGCGCCAGATGATGAGACAAACACAACTGTGTCATCTTTACCAGATACGGAACCAACAGTCGCAACGGAATCTTCAGGCGGATACGATGAAACTACCAGTGAAGTGACCGAGCCTACTGATGCAGTGACAGATTTCACTTCAGAAGACACCACCGATATTCCAGTGACCACATCTGCCACTGACGCTCCGGCGTGCTATTACAACGGCATTGAGTATACGAACGGATCCAGCGTCCCTCCAAACAAATGTCAGGACAATTGCATCTGCATCAACGGAGAAGTTTCGTGCCAACAAGCCGCCTGTCCACCCGCTCCTCCTGCCTTCCTAAGATGCGTCGTTTCAGAGAGGGATGCTTGCTGTCCATCGTACCAATGCCGTGAGAAATTTTTGAGTTTATGACCATTACTAAAACTTTATCTCATGAACAGAATTGTCTTATAGTACCTAAAATATTTTCAACTTTCGGAAGCTGATAAATTTCTGAAGAAATTAAGATTTGCAGTAGATTTAATCGTTAAAAAAATAAGCGATATGCTATGGAAATCTAATTTGAATGCATTTACCTAGACTGGCTTTGAACTCGAGAAACTAAACCGAACATCATTTCTTACGAAGTATTCCCAGCCTGGATCAACATTCTACTATAATCGATTATTTTCAGTGATTTTTTACTAAAACCCGTTGTCCGACTTAAGTTTTTCATTGACTATAAATTCCATGATCAGTTAGTTGATTTTTTTAATTGCACTTCTAAGAGGTGGTTCAGCTCATTATTACAGTGACAGTTTATTATTCAGTTCAATGATCGCATTCGCCTTAATCGGCTTTTAGTCACGCTATTAGGTTATGAACCTCTATAAATTAGTAATGGAAATAAAGTTCGCAATCGCCTCAATAGTGCAAGATTAGAGCAGAGAAGTGCCCAGATCGATTCAACAGATGCACTTGCTTTGTTGTTCTACGGGAAACATGATTTGGTATTTTATACAAGTTTGTATTTCAGTTGTCAATTTACAAATGCGGAAATTATATTTGTTCTGTCAGTGCCGCCTGTGAACCCACAGTGTCAAGAAGGTTGTGGATTGAAGACTGAAATTTTGCGTGACCCCGGCATTTTAAACAATAGTTTTTAGAGCACAAGCGAATTATCGAAATACTATTTTGCATAACTGATCTATGTTTTTTTTTTTTTGTTTCTTCTTTCGTTCGTGCACGTTTAACAGCTTGAAAACATTTCAACTGCTTTTGAATTTCGTATGAAAGGGTTCCTAGCGTTGAATCTACCTTGCAGCTAATGAAACCGAAACGACAACCGTTGGCCCCACCTGCATAAAGGAAGGGCAGTCCTACTCTGAAGGCGACCACGTCCCAAGCCCCGACGTTTGTTCCGACTGCTTCTGTGTCGACGGCAGGATTGTATGCGCCACGCTGGAATGCGAGGCGCCAGGTCCTCGCTGCACTCCTGCTCCTGTACCAGAAGGAGTCTGCTGCCCCGAGTCTTATGACTGCAGTGAGCTCATTTCTAGACTACATTATTTGAACAAAATTGTTTGCGTTGAGCGAACAAAGAAACGATGCTGCTACAGTGCTCGTCCACACAGCTAACATTAAATTGAAATACGAAGAGATGATTCGTACCAGTACTCGAGATTTATAATTGTTGTCGAATTTTTTATTGTTGCAAAAAAATCAGATTCAAATCATTTCGCATGTATTTCAATTTATTAAAAAAACATTTATCGATTGATGACTCTAGGAGTGCACAACATTCAAAACTTCAGGGTGTGTACTTTTGTTCTCGTATTAAGGCACGTAATGAAAATTCCATGAAAGAATTTTTCACCAACAAATATTCTCACTTTACTTCGCAGTTGAAGAAATTCAGGAAATTGGAACATGAAAATTTCATAAAATAATTTTGTTCATTTCGAATATTCTCACTTTAATTCACAGTTGAAGAAATTCAGGAAAGTGGAACAACTTTGCCACCGTCAGCAACAGATGCGACGGAAACAGCCGAACCTCTGGACTCAACCACCGCGTCACCTCCTAGCAGCGACGCAGTTAACGTCTGCGTCGTGGGAGGAGTCCAATTCGGTGACGGCGAAGATGTGCCTGTCGAAAATTCCTGCCAGGAGTCATGTTCGTGTTCCTCTGGAGACTTGCTGTGTGTTCTTCGCAAGTGTCCAGACAAGCCTCCTTCATTCTTGCGATGTGCTGCAGTTCGCAACAGTACAGACCAATGTTGTCCGACTTACGAATGTCGTGAGTATGCGTTCGGTATGGAACTTTATTTTATTTTTTCAACATTTTCCTTAGCAGCAAAGCAATTGTTCAAACTGAAAAATCAACAAAGGCTCGTGAAATAGACCAGATTTTGGCCTGTCAACTTAATCCAGTAGCTTAAATACACAGGAGGCGAACTTGATCGAAAGTCAAGTTCGAAAATTCATTTTATATCATTGCTCCCAAATTGCCAGTCAAACCATAAATTTGAAATAGAAAAAAAGCATTTGCCTAAGTGTATTTTTTTACTATTGATTCAAATTAACGTTAATCATCATTCCTAAAAGCATCATCCATTAGAACCGTGCAATCTAGCATTCACTTCTTCATGTTACAGCGCCAGCCACCAACATCGATGCCTCTTCATGTAAGCGAGATGGCATTACCTACGCTGACGGCGATTACGTGAACAGCACCAACGTCTGCACCGACTGCTACTGCGTACAAGGGGAGATCGTGTGCGCGACGCTCGAGTGTGAAGCTCCCAGCGCCAGATGCATTCCAATGCCAGCAACCATCGAAGAATGCTGCCCTGCTTCTTACCTCTGCCGTAAGGAGTCATGGCATAAATGTAATACGATCTTGGGAGCAAAGCTGAGGCATAAATACATTGAATCTAATACTGCAACGATATTTATGTAATTCTTGCGAAGAAAACTTACAAAGCGTTTTCAATAACTAACACCCTTTGCAGATATCATAAACAATTGAGCTACAGAAGTACATTATTTTTAGAATTTTCTCACGACATGAATAAACAATTCGATATTATAACAAATTATTTATTAAAATTTTACATGGATAGTAGATTCTTCTACCTTTAATCAAAGTTATACTAAAATAAGTAATTTATGAATACTTCATTTTCAGCTGGTGAAGGTTCAAGCGAAACAAGCACGGAGTCGGCTACTACAATTTCGCCCGAAGAGACGTCAACTGTGGCTGAAACGAGTGAGAGTGAGCACTCATCAACTGAAAGCTCGGTTGGATCTATAAGTGAGGTAACAGAAGCTATTTCTGAATCGGTCACCTCTACTCCTGAAGAGGGAACAGATCAAGTCATAACCGAAACCGAGGTATCAGCCAGTATCAGCCCATCAACTGAAAGCTCGGTTGGATATACGAATGAGGTTACAGACGTGCCTTCAGAATTGATCACTGTGACTCCTGAAGAGGTAACAGATGAAGCTGTCACCGATGTATCACCTAGTACGTTGGCTTCGGATATTGGCGAAGGTGACACTACACCAGCCACTGCTGAAGAGTCGACGTCAGAAAAGCCCGTGGAAGGAGAAATTTCATCTGGTCCCATCAGTGATGATCCAAGTCATACTTTTCCCGAAATAAAGAGCACTGAATTCACCGACACCACAACTGCTTCCTCGTCTGAAGAAGCTCAAACAACTCAGTCAAGCGTCGACATTGACTCGACCGCTTCAACTGATTCTCCAATTAAGGAATCCGAAACAACACCGTCAAGCGTTGACATTGACTCGACGGCTTCTACAGATTCCCCAATTAAAGAAACCAAACCTACCCAGTCGAGCGTCGCCATTGACTCTACTACTTCTGCTTCAACAGACGACATTGAAGCTCCCCAAACGACTGAACCATCTCATGTGGCAGGAACTGAAGCGACTACCGTGAAAAGTACAAGTATTGCTGGTGAAGTAGACGAAACAATGTCCGAGTTTGAAACCTCGACATCAATTTCTACAGATGAATCTACAGAAATTGCCACTACCGCTTCCCCACACACTGATAACTTTGAAGAACTAACTTGCCTTGTAAATGAAACGGTTTACCAGGATGGCGCTTCTCTACCTGCTCTTGGCCCCTGTCAGCACAGTTGCAAGTGCGCGAACGGCACCGTTAAATGCGACCGTCAATCGTGTCCTCCTGTCCCTCCTCAGTTCCTCCGATGCTCCCCTGTACCCGTCTATGGAGATGATCAATGTTGCCCAATTTACAGTTGCCGTAAGTATTCTAACCTTTAAACACAAGCAAAAACAACAATTACGTTAAGAAGTATTTGAATAAAATACATGTTAATCCATAAAATTGAGATGATTTAATAAATAATTTTTTGCAGCTCCGTCCCCTGGTACGGACAGTGTTGGCGAGGCAAGTTGCGTCAAGGACGGACAAGAGTTCCTGGACGGCGAACACGTGCCCAGCCCCACCATCTGCACCGACTGCTACTGCGTCGACGGCGTCATCGTGTGCGCGGAGATTGACTGCGGCGTCCCAGGTCCCAACTGTTCCCCAGTTTACCAAGCCGAAGAAGCCTGCTGCCCGTCAACATATGAATGTCGTGAGTGCACGTCGCTCTGCTTCCATAGGCATCTAGATTATAGTATTTCATGCAAAGATGATGTCAGCAGTGCAGATATTTACCGCCCTGGTATAGAATTTATTACTAGATAACCAAATCGTGCTGCACGAAAGCCGCTCAAGTTCTCAGGCGATATGAAGGAGCCTGGGTTTCATTGATAGAGTAATCAAATTATCGATAAATTAAGGTATTCGTTAAGAGTAATTGTAAGTCATAAAATTATCTAGGCGGAGATCCTATGATTATTATAAAATTAGGATGCTAAAAATGTATTTATTTCCTGACTTGCAGAAGAATCGACTCCAGCATATCCACAGTTGGCCATCACTACGGACGATGCTTCCGACAAGAAGGATGTAACTTACGCGGAGCCAGAATTAACCGATGTGGAAATCGATGAACCCGCAGCCATTACGTCAGTTACTGAAATCGGCTCGCGGAACATAACAACAGTAGCTCCACTTTCCACGGGCTTCGGCGAGCATGAAAAGACTAAACCAGAATTGGTTACCGAGCCTGGCGTTCATAGACCACTAACTACGGATTCCATTGGCAAAACAACTGTCAGCGAGGACGATTACGTAACAGTAACTTCTGATTACACTGGTCCCAGCAATGTTTCAACACTGGCTCCTGTAGCAGGCCAAGAATTCGATGCAATGACTACTACTATTAAATCGGCTGTGGAATCGGTAACAGAATTAATAACTTTTTCAAACCAGAAGCCGACGCCTCTGACGGAATCGGCAACCAGTCCTGTACGTGCAACGACTTTGTCTTCAGTGGATTCTTCAACCGACGAACCTCCAAAAATAACTGAAGTTGAAAGAATTTCTACTAGAATTACTGTACCTGTAATTGAAGACGACACAAACAGAGAGACGGAGCTGCCTGGAAACGATACACGCACCAGACCTGAAACTACAAAACTCCCGACTTCTACTGACGAGTACGGAAAGGGGGTGACAGATTTGCCATCAACCACTGACTATTCAACTTCACGACCCCAAATGACTGCAGTAACTGAGGGAACTGATGACGTCACTGATGCTGACAAAGAAAAACCCTATCATAAACCTGAATTCTCTGTTCCTGATGACGTTCAGGGTGACGTTACAACTGCCGGAGAGGAATCTCATGGCGAGTTCACTGAATCTCCCTTAGGGTTAGTGACTGGTGTAAGCACAACTACCAAGAAACCTGAAAAAACGAGTACGTCTAGCCAGTCAAAAGCCCCAATTGACTCGGTTACTGAAGGAAGTTCACGTGAAACAGAGATTGTTACCGAGTCTGGAGCAAATGTAACATTCGTGGTTGATACGAGCCCCGTCACAGCTATTCCCAAACCTTTCAATGCCACTACCGTCTCCGAAGCATCCATTAGTTCGGACACAGATAGCAAAGTTACAGTCACTGACAAACCAGAAGAATTTCCGAACACAACTACGTCTTTTACGCCAATTAGTTCGAGCACAGTGACGAGCACAATTTCTGAAGAACCAGGAACTGGTTTTGAAACGAGAGAAACCAGCACAACACCGAACGAAATGGTAGTAACCACAACAGAAATCAGCCGTGTTGAAACTAATGTAACAAAAACGGAAGACGTTTCTACCCGAATCACACATGTAGAATATGATTCATCAACACTCAAACCCTCTCCGACCGAAACATCCGATCGGAATACAACAGAAATTCCTAAATTACCAACCACATTAAGCGAAGGAAACGTGAGCAAATTGCCATCTGATGCACATACTCTGGAGGATAGTAATGTTACATTAGCCCCTGTAACGACAACTTTGGCGAACAATGTTTCTGTCGACATTGAGCTAGAGCCAGAAAGAATCATTGACAAAATAACAACATTGGCGACTGAATCAGAAACGGAAGACGTTTCTACCCGAATCACACATGTAGAATATGATTCATCAACACTCAAACCCTCTCCGACAGAAACATCCGATCGGAATACAACAGAAATTCCAAAATTACCAACCACATTAAGCGAAGGAAACGTGAGCAAATTGCCAGCTGATGCACATACTCTGGAGGATAGTAATGTTACATTAGCCCCTGTAACGACAACTTTGGCGAACAATGTTTCTGTCGACATTGAGCTAGAGCCAGAAAGAATCATTGACAAAATAACAACATTGGCAACTGAATCAGAAACTCTAACTAGAACCAAAAGCCCGATCGAAAGTCAAACGGAAACTCCCGCGCAGAGCAGTGATACACCATCAAACGTTACTGCGATGTCAACAGGAAACGGATATCAAAGTACTGTTTCTAAGCCTGTTGATTATGAAGGTAAGCTCACAACTGAAGCTTACCCTGGCGAGCCAACAAAAACGTCAACTAAAACAATTGCCACAACAGAAGCATTGGACGACGTTTCAACCCTCGATGAACAAGAGTTTGTTAAAGCCAACATTTCTACGCCTACTACTGAGCAAGAAACTTACGCCACAGAGAAGACATCGGCAGTTCCGAGTGTAATATCTTCTGCATCGTCAACGGACGCACCATTCCCAAACGTATCAAGTTTTGTTGAAACTTCATCTCCACTCGTCACTGAAAGTCCAAAAGATTCGTCGGAAATTACTACGCTACCTTCTCTTCCAAAGCATAATCATACGGAGAAAACGCCAACCGTTGAAGATTTGGTAAGCATTACCGACGATGAGCCGACACTAAGCGTGGTCGCAGAAGACGGCGCAGTTGCTACTGCGCTTGATTCTACGACAGAGTCAATTGTCAACGTTTCGAACTTGATCGACAAAATACCCGAGAAGACTACCGTTGCGCCTGTCAACTCATCAACAAGCGTATTACCCAAGGAAGATGCAAAAACAACCGCGAGTGATGTGCAAGTTGGAACGGAAATTTCTAGCGGATTGTTTACCTCTGTTCCTTCGCTATCAACGGAATCCCCTGAAAAAATGGAAGTCACTGATAACTTCGTCTCTACTAGGATCACTTCGCCAAAAGAACCAATTTATACGCAAGTGCCGATCGAGACAGATTCTCTGCCTCATTCTAATGAAACAGGAGCTGACGAAACAAGAACTACTACTAAGTTAATTCCCACTGGAAATTTCAGTGTCACCGAAGTTGGTGGCATCATTGACTTCTCAACCACCACTGAAGTAACAACGGACAAAACGACAACGAAGACGAATGCAAGTACCACAAGTAGTTCTACTCGTCCAACGACAGATAGTGCAGATGACAGGACAACGATCAAGGTTTCTGACGTGACAGAGATCGCAAGTGTGAGTTCCCCTCCACCTTTGTATCAGACTCCTCGACCCGGCACGGCTGTTACTGGGTACACTTCTGCTGTCCCACCGTTCCCTGGTGGTTTGCTCTCATCATCCAGCACCACGTGGAAACCAAGTACGACTACCGATTTCATTTTGGGCCCAGGAGCGTGTATGTTTGACGGGAAAGTATACGTGTCTGCTCAACAAATACTGAGAGATGATCCATGCGATTTTTGCTTCTGCTTCAGAGGAGATATCATTTGTCTGCAACAATCTTGCCCTCCGCCAGTTCCTGGTTGCTTTGAAGAACCAATTCCTGGTTTTTGTTGCCCTCGCTATGAATGCCCTCTCACAAAAGCTGTCGTTAATGTCACCACGACCACAACTCCGCTACCCACGTACCCACCTTTGCAAAGATCTGAAGAAATTGTGATGTGTGAAATCGGAGACCGTTACTATCACACTGGAGAAATTGTAGAAGAAGCTTCTGGACCATGCCTGGAATGCAGGCAAGTAATCTTAAACTAATGAACCACTCTCCTTTACCCTGCTATGGTACTGATCCATTTACTCAATAGTATCTTGTCGATTTGTCAAGAATCTGCCAATTTGAAACTTTTCTTGCCGTCAAGTTTATTTTTGATCTCGTTTGTTTCAGGTGCGGCAATGACGGAATGATGGAATGCGACCCCAAAGATTGTCCTGCTTCCCCAATGCTCGGTAAAATATTCACTAAAGGCAGAGATTACAAGAACGAGAGTTGAACCCAACACCAAGGATCTAGGCATTAAAATGATCTGGTCTTTTTTATTTTCTACGTCGAAAATTCCAGCTACTGCTGCGCGTTTAAATTCAATCATTTTAGGAAATTTTTGCTCGCTTGTGATCATAGAATACACTACAGGGTGTTTGTTAAGTAGTGATTTTATGAAGAAAATATTTTAAATTGTAATAGTCTTGAATAGAGCTTTCACTTACGGAAGAATTATTGAGCGACGAGGATTTCAACGTCAACAGGTTGATGAGATATATCTCTGTTCGGAATAATTGTTCCTTACATCTTAATTACAAGTGAGATAGAAACGTTTACAACGTTTGAGATAAATTTGATATCATATAATTCAATTGTGCCCCAGCTTAGTATGGCAAGCTATATCTTGAAGTTACCAATTCTAGCCCAGGTATCAAGGAGAAGGTGACCGATACATCAAGTTTCGGGCTCTAGCAAGCCACGCAAATCGAACGGAAAGATAATCGTCAAACTAGATTTTTGAATGGTCGCTAATTTGAACGAAGACAATGGCATAAAGCATGAAACTTAGACGAGAAGTCCACCATTGCCCATGACAAGGTCTCAATAATCTCTACTCAATAAATACCCTGTATTTAGGCAGTGTGCTTTCCAATTATTTAGGCTCATCTTCTGCCGGTGATATGGGTAATGTTTCTAGGATTAAGTTGTTGGTAGTATCCCATGCGAGGTAAACGAAAAGATCGAGACACTCGAAGTGCCAAATCTAGTAGGACACCAGGAATTGTCTGATAATCCACCCTTGTTTCTAGACTGGTACAATTGATACTGTTATCTGATGTGAGACTAGAGGATCAATCCCACCTTTTGAGTGCTACAATTAAGAAGTGATGTCATCCCAGTGGTGTGGTGAACCAGCAACTTACCGTGACAACACGATGCCCTTTGTCGCTACCTGCTAAGGACAAATATTGGCTACAACCCTTATGGTCTTGTTTCCACTCTATTTAGTAACGTTTTGGGCATTTCATGAACTTTGGGCGTTATAATTTGTTCTCATTGCAGTGCTAGCAATAATAAGGCATTATTGTCCCAGTGCCATCAATTATAATTTATACAACGTAGAATTTAGATCCTAAATTAATTTAGGAAGTCCCTGCATTAATATCATGGTGAAACTATTGGAAGCATGGAAGGCTTCATTCCTTCATATCACAGCAAACCTTATAAGTAGAAGTGTCAGGAGCACGGGAAATTTGCAATATGGTATTGGCTGCATCTGCGTAGTGTCATGTGATGCGGTCACGTCAGTGTCCTGCAGCAACCAGCCATCTTCCGCATGGCATCATTTAGCATCATAAGGTTTTACCTTTAGTCTGTATGATTAATATGCTTCAACTGAGTTGGCCTGCGGCGCAGATTGTAGATGAAGTGTAGTTTCTAACGTTCAATTCGCCACTCTCGATTTAAACTGAAACGTTTTCTCCACATAATGTCTCGTAATTCTTCTTTATTTTAGAGATCATTCACATTATATTCGCCTTTACTTTCAGAAGCTTGAAGAAAGTACAAAATTTAAATCGATATAAATCTCTGTTGAACAACATTGGGACATTAGTATTTTAGTGCACAGTCGTTGACTGAAGAATAACCCTCTCAACTATGCTTGCTTAGCTTCGTTCTTCACACTTCAACTGCGCGGGAACTTCATTGTTACTTGGCATTGAGCGGTTCATACAGTATTGTACCAGTATTCGTAGTTTAGTTCGTATAGACAGTAACTATTTATTATCTAGCAATAAATTGTGAAGCTTGTGACGCACAAGTAGCTTGTACAGCTCATACTCCGAACACCCAATTATCATGCAAGCTTTTTAACTGTAAAAATGTGAATAAAGTTTTTTACTTTTTGAAACCTTACTGTCCTTGATAATATAGAACGAACCCGTCTGAAATTATAGACCGCTTACAACCCCGTTTGAGTCCTATAAACGAGGCTCATCAGCCCTCATTTGTTCAATTTTGCCGTACTCAAACTGCTTAAGAATTCTTTGTCATAGTTTCTTGAATGCATCAAGCCGAAATAATTACTGCAAGACTAACTATTGCACTGGATAAGAAATTATCCTTAAAGTACAGTAATTGTGCCACTGTTATACAGGATATCATTGCAAATCTCCAGCGATCGAGACTGTCACCGGAAGCCATCTACATGCGAGATACTAGTTGTCAGTGCAGGGCCCAATCTCTCTGCAAGATACTAATTATATTGTGCAAATTGTTGTGCGATATCTAAAACATTCCGTTTTAATTACTTTCATGCCTCTTAATGACACCAATTCATTTCTTGGATGTTGTAGTCAATCTACATAGGGGCCTTGGCTCTGGTGTGAATGACTAACTAGGAACCCGTTTGAGCCTTGAAGCGAAGGGGGCGCATGCCAGAGGCTAGCTTTGCCTAACTTTACACTTATTTCATATTCCTTTCCATAAGTAAGAACGCTAGAGTGCATTACAGCCAATGAAGATAAGTGTTCAAAGCCATAGCGCCGGATGTTCACAGCCACAAAATAAGCTTGCCAAAGTGGCTCAGTGGTTAAAGTGCAGGGGCCGGATTATCAAAGCATCGCTAAGTACACGTAGCGACTTACGTGTGGCGTAAGTGCTGATATGAAGAAGTAACTCTAGCAGTGGTATTATCAGAACATTTGCGCGGGAAGCTACGTACAAGAAGCCGTACGTAGCTCTACGCCTGCTCGGAGGTGTCGTAAGTGGAGTTACGTAGACGTTTTGAGTGTGCCGAAGCAATATAAAACTATTGATTTACTTGCAACACTGTGAATTGTGATAGAATTTTGTCAATAATTCAACATAGGCATAATATGTGATCGTGCTAAACGGTGTTTTTTGAGAAAAATTTTAAATTAAGTTATGCCTGCTAATTTCTTTTCCTTTTGTGCTATAATTTGCAAGCAAATCTTGATATTCGTATCTAAGAGTTTTATGATCATTCACTAAAATAATATCTTCATGACTTTTTGATTCAAAACTAAGTGGAGTTTGACAAGCCAACCATTTTTCTAGCTACGTACACAAATTCCTTTCTTTCTCCGCCGATAGTTGAACTCCAACTCACAAAATGTTCTAAATTCCACGTAGCTCTCTAAAAAGTCCTCAAATTTTGAATGGGAAAAATGTAATTTCTTGCCTTGATTGCAAAAAATTGCAATCAAGGCGTTGTCATTGCTATTTAGACAACGTCTCACTCATTTCTCCATATGCTCCCTAGTCAGTCAACGCAGATGACGCTGACACAATACAACCTCCTTTCATCCACGCGCACTGCGTACTGAGTCGACAGAACACAGAAGCTCGGAATGGCAAATTCGAAGCCTCTGATTGGTCAGTTAGTTGGATGGTTTCGATAATACCTTTTCAGATAAGTCTTGCGTAAGACAGTTTTGTTAATGCCAATTTTTGACTGACTTAGGCAATACGTAACTTTTTGAACGTAAGTACGAAAAGTTACGTGTACTTAGCGAAGTTTCGTTAATCTCTGCCCAGAGTCCCAGGATTGGAGCAGAAAGGCGCGGGTTCGATCCCAGCTCTGTGCGCCAGTTTCTGGTCAGAATCGGCAAAGAAGCGGGAAGCCTGCCGAAGACCACCACTGCCCTGGATGTAATGGACTATCATGACTCCTGCCCTCAGGAACGTAGCCTTCAACACTTCTGGAAAATCATATAGGCAGCCGAAAGCCACCAGACAGAACGAATCAATTGAATTAGACCAATCAGCCCTCAGGAGAAACAGTCGGCGATCGAATGGCCTAGTGTCGTCCGGCGTACCGCGAAAAAATTGTACACCACTCGGACGTAGCGCGCCGGAGCCTTGCAGCGAATGTGATATCCGCCACCAAGCCGTCCGTATCTAGGCAGTGCGTCGAACCAGCCCTCGGTCGAACGCCCGCGGGTCGAACGCTCCAGCCGAGTGCTAACCTAACCTAACCTAACCTGACTCAGCCAGTCGCACGGCTCTTTCGACCGACGGCCTGGTGGTGCACGGCAGGTTTTATGCGAGGCCGGAGGTGGGCAAATCCAAGTGGTCGCAGGCTGTTGCGCGCAAGTAGCAATTCGAGCGGTGGCCAGGGTATGAAGTGATGCTTCGACACAACGTTCAGTGGTGGACGGCCATTCGACCCTAGGCTATTCGACCTCGTGTCTGGGGGGTGTGGAGCTCAAAATATTCAAAGCAGGATGTCAATGATCGGGTACGGATAGCAGATTCCATTCACGGCTGATTGGTGGATGTCCTGAAAGATCCAAGGCGTTCGATTCAGGGCTTATTGGTGTACAAAATTTGTTGTGCACGGCTGCGTTCCCGGAAAGATCGGGTTCCAAAGGCCGGATCCATTGTGAATCAAGTCGCGAAAAATTCAAGAATCGGCAACAGGCCATGGGCCTATTTTCTTCAATGCCGACACTTCTATTCTAAAGCTTCCGTTGAGGGCGCAACCTTTATAGAACAGCTATTTAGCAGCCTTCATAGCCGAACTTTGTCGCATGAAAGCGATGTTGATAAAAACTATCGCGAATAATGAGCCCGATCTTAAAATTTCTCTGCAACCGCAGCTTATCAAGAAATTTGGACCGCTTCGTAATCCTCTGCTCAATTTCAGAATTTAATTTTTTTACACTATAATTACTTTTACACGTTAATAACTTTGGGAGAAAAATACACAGAAGTATCAGCATGAACAATTAAACAGAAATTAAGTCAAATGAATTATAAGTTAATGCCAAACTTTAGTTGGAGAACCATCTGCCAAGTCGAAGTTCTGGTATGTGCGCGAGTGCGTCTATGTAGACAGTTGATCCGGAAATCGGTGGTGTGGGAGACTTATCTATCATCTACATTAATCGTTATATTTTTCTTCATTTGATTTTTCAGTTTAATGTAAGTATATCAGCTGTTTTTATTGCATTTTTTTCGTTGCTGGATGTTTTTCTTTGAGAGGCAATTGCTACGCCAGTAAAATCATACCAGCAGGGTTTAGTAATTGTGTTAGGTACGTTCGGGCGTTGCTGAGTCGGGAAGTGATTCAGCGATGCATCATGTTTGTAGCCTATCATACAAATAATAGGCAAACGCTTGGTAATATTTTAATGACGTTTCTATTATTTTCGAGCAAATTTTATGAATATCTATCAGGCTGCCTCACTACCACCAAGTACCAACTTCTGTGTTTATTTCTCGCCCATTTTATTAACTTGGAACTTGCAATTTGCATTTCTCCCAAACTCCTAAATTATGTAAATAAAATGGCTGAATTAGCTATAGGCCTAGATGACAGATCACAGATGTTGATAATTTTTTTTTTTTAATTTTGACATCAAATGGCTAGCTAGCCAGTCCAATTTTTTGTCTTTGGTGATAGGATTGAACTAGTATGGAATATATCTACTTGGCGAGCCGTGACTGAATTTTTCGAGCCGTGGTTTTATGGATTGGCCAGCCGTGATTCCATTTCTACGAGCCGTGATTCTATTTCACCGAGCCGTGAATTCCATATCTCGGCCATGAAAAGCCATTTACGAGGTGCGAATGCGAATTTATTTACAAAGTTTATGCACGTGTTACCCCAAATCTCTAATTTTTAAACCGCGATTTTTTAATCAAACAAAAATTTATGACATTCGAGCCGCGAGATTTCATACCTACTGAAATTATATGATATTAGAGCCGCGATATTTCAGACAAAAATAGGACTTTTCCAGACTAAATTAGAGCCGCGATATTTCAGACAAAAATAGGACTTTTCCAGACTAGGGATTGAATAGTATTGATCTACAATTTGAATTTATTTAAGCCAAACCTAATTTGCTCAGGCTACCAGTCTGGAATTATCTTCAATCTTGACCTATTTCTTGCAAAAAATATTGCATAATTAGAAATTTTAGAAAATTATAGGTTTAAGTTCTCAATTTAAAAATTTTATTGAAAAAAGTTAGACAAGTGCCTTAGAAATAGGTGAAATTTACTGCAAACACTGGCATTTTTTGAATTCAGACTCGCGCAGTGTGCCGCACTGTGGAATTTCAGAGTGGTAATATATCAACTGGTAAACATAGCCATTTGGAAAGCATGACCTAAAAATCTGGAAAGCCCAGCAATCCAGCATACCTACACTTTCTGGCTGTCCATCATCATCACTGACAAGTCTCTGCAAGCTGCCACAGGTGTTTCATTGAAAAAAAATGGAGCTTACATCATCACAGTAACAAGGATCCAATCAATGCTTGAATGCATGATTATGCATCCAACATCACAGTCACATGAAATGATGAATCCAATCATTGCTAGAATGCATGCAACTTCACAGTCACAACAATCCAATTAGCATCAGAACGTTAGTAACGTCACAGCCACTGGAATCCAATCAGCATTAGAAAGCTAGAATGGACCGCCCCAAATGCACACAATGTTAACGCACTGATGTTAATTTAATGCGTAATGCTACACTTCTTATTTCAAGTGCGTAATACAATAATGTAGTTATGTCACTATTGATGGAAATTGCAATGAATATCATCTTCACTATGTACATTCACTCACAAATACATGAAAAACTACCTATGATTCAATCGACAAATACAAAACTGACCACTGATGCAATAAGCTGAGACATGGAAACTCCTACCGTTACGATCAGGATTACCAACTTAACGAGAAACATAAACAAAGAAGGTAGCAGGCCGCAGGGACACCAACCATCAATATACTCATTTGTAAAAATGATAGATACAAATTCTTCTATATTTATCAGTAACTGACATTTAACAGAATGGTTTAATAACCTTCATAAATCATAAATGTTATACATGCAGAATCAATCGTGTGCAACAGCCAAAGTGGCGGGAACAATGGTTAGTGTTTACTGTTTACTTGTTAGTTCTCGTTAAGCAATCGGTGTGTGAGGTAACTGCATTAACTGCAGATGAAGCTCCCAAACTTGGAAGTTGGAGATGATACGTGATATATTGTGAGCCTTCTAAAGTTTTAATAATGAAGAAATCACAAGGTTCACAAAATCTAAAGGTTTGATTGTTAAATTGTCAAGTACAGTGCTCCATTCTATCTTAATCAGTCAACTGAGTTGTCATGTTGTGCATTGCCTTTTGTTCTAGAAGTTTCTCCGATTGCCAATGAGTTAATCCTCAATTTGAAAGCTGACGTAAAGAATGAGTACCAGTTTACCAAGGCATCCCAGTAGACAGGATGTTCGGCAGACCAAGAACCTGGTAGCTTGGATGCTGAGCAAAATGGCGAAAGTACAGTAAAATTGGAAGTACTTTGAACGGCAAGAGTAAATAGTATTTTCTTCTGTAGATCCCTCTTGCTTATCCGTGAGTGACGCGCACAATTAATAATCTTGGGACCTTCACTGTGTTTCCTGACGTAACGTTCATGCCAATTTCTGAGGCTGATTTCTGACAGCCTACAAACCTGTTTCTAGTGCCTGCAACATTTTTTTAAGGCAGAATGCTTCTTTTTATGTGAACCACTAATTTTAGAATTTCACTCTGATTGGGAGGCAATAGGCAGATGGTTAGTGGTTACTATTTTTTTAATATTTGACAGAAGTTTCATTAAAAGCCCTAAATCATGCCTAAAAACAATACTTTCAAAAGTAATTTATTGAAATAGCAGGTAAAAAAGACAATTTTTCTATATTTTTTAGGGAAAAATAAGGAAAAGACTGGAAGGGCAATTGAAATAGCTCAAATAGGTAATATTCATAGGCATTTTTTCCAATTCCCCCAGGGTGGTTGTGGTTTGTACCTAGCTGGTGGGTGGTAAACCTGGTGGTTTCTGCCAATTTATCATAAAAAGCTGTCTACTGTTGCCAGGCATGGAATATATCTACTTGGCAAGACGTAACTCAATTTTTGGAGCCGTGGTTTTGTGGATTTGCCAGCTGTGACTCCATGTCTTTGAGCTGGGAATTCCAAATCTCAGCCATTGAAAGCCATTTATGAGCCAGCAGCCACAAACTTTTTACGAAATCCCGGGCACGTGTTACCCATAATCTCTAATTTTACCATAAAAAGTTAGCACTAACATTTGTCTTCCCATGAGTCAGTTGAGTGGCAACTGATCATGTGACACCATAGTGACAAACCACGGATTTTGTAGAATTGATTCATTTTTTCTCATTTAATCAAGCTATAAACTAAAATCTTGTGTATGATAATGCTGATATCCAATCCACAATACTTTGCTGGTCTACTTATAGGAGTTAAAATACTCTCTGCCTTGACACTATGCGTGACAATGCAGTGAGCAGTCTGACTGTTCTGACATGACTGCTAATACGTGATCTATATCTATAAAGAAACAATTTAGGTTGACTTGTTGTTTTGTTATGCAGGATATTTTGGCAGGATTGTTGAAAAAGTGCGGATCATAGAAATTTATGAAATGACATGTTTGCGGAGTGCAAACCATGATTTTTTCAATCAAAAAAAAATGTATGACATTAGAGCCATGAGATTTCATACCTACTGAAATTTTATGATATAGGAGCCGCATTATTCTAGAAATAAATATGACTTCCAGCCCTGCTGTTTGAATTATCTTTTATGAAGACAAACTTGTTTGAATAATTTATTTTAATTATATAATTGTATTGACTCAAAATTGGAAATCACCTCCTTGTACTGAAACATAGTGGCAAAGCAAGAGTTTTTTAGACTTCCTCAAATTCATTTTTGAGTTGTATAAGTAGACCAGTAAAGTAGCACAGAAATAATTAGAATCACTTGACTGCTTAAATCGCAAGTTTATCAAAAATTTAAAAGCAAAGAAAATAGCCAGAAAATTCACCATTTCTTAAAAAGGAAAACGTTTCGGAGACCAGCTCCATCATCAGTTCAAAACCTAAAACACAGGTACAAATAATTAGTCCGGTGTTTCCGACTTGCGAATTCTAGAGTCCCTTTATATTTTTAAACAAAAGCCTATTTTAAATGCCGCTAATAGTTCATATCCCCTCGAAATTGTAAATAGATAGATTTGTGCCCGTGTTTGCTTCATTCTTGTTTGTTTCTCATTTGACGATTTATGCATCAATATGAATTTATTGCTAATTATTTGTACCTGTGTTTTAGGTTTTGAACTGATGATGGAGCTGGTCTCCGAAACGTTTTCCTTTTTAAGAAATGGTGAATTTTCTGGCTATTTTCTTTGCTTTTAAATTTTTGAGAAATAATTAGAACGGAGGTCCCTGTTTGGAATTTCTTAGGTGTAATATATTAACATGGGCACATCATATCATGATATATTCATATTTTACCGTAAAAGGGGGTTACTTTGACCATTTTTTTTAAAACTCTAGGTTCACTCACCATAAATTGCTGGCTCCTGCCTCTCAAAGTTTTGATGTAATTAAAAAAAAGTGATAGTCTTTGTTACCCCCCACTTCGGGGTTTCTTTGACTGGGTGGTAGAATCAATTTTATTTTTTGGTAAAATAACTCCAGGTTTTGGTGCATTGTAGTAGAACTCTTCTAGTTATATATAATTATATATGTAAATGACAAATTTGAGAGAAGTGTCATAGTTTGCAAATGCTGGTGCCACCCCATAATGGGGGGAAATGTGACCACCTAATGGCAGCCCTGACAGGGTAATATTGACTGGCTTGGAAATTAAGTTAAAATTACCATATAAAATTACCATAAAGAAAAAACATTAATAGGTGTATCAAACATAAAATATGTTATATATGGTACCTAAACTTAATTTCCAAGCCGATCAATATTACCCTGTCAGGGCTGACAGTAGGTGGTCATAGTTCCCCCATTGGGGGGCAGTGCCCCCCATTTGCAAACTATGACACTTTCCACAAATTTGTCATTTGCATATGTAACTAGAAGAGTTCGACTACAATGCACC